TTTTTTTTTTTGGCCGTTTTTTTTTTTTTTTGGCATATGTTTTTTTTGGCGTTTTTTTTTTTCTTTCCCCCCCCCCCTGACTGTGGCCCATCACGGCCATGGCCAAACGCGGGCGTGGCCTCGACATTGTGGCCGTGGCGCAGCCGCGGGTGTGGCCTAGACATCGTGGCGTGGCCGCGTGGGGAAAAAAAAAAGGAAAAAAAAAACAACCGCCTTAACGAAACCGTCACCCTGACACCACTGCCGGCCTGAGTTACAACCGCCTTTTCGAACTCAGGCCATGATAAAGTTGCCGCCAGCCTGTTTTTTCTGCCTTTCCGAACTCAAAACATGCTGCGTCCGTTGTTTCTAATAAAAAAGGCCTCAAAGGCCGATACTAAGGGTCATCAGACGCATTTTCTACTTCAGGCTTATAGACTGTTCATTTTACAAGATGCAAGGGACGCTGGACCCGGTTTCCAGCAGGTGCACCTGGCCATTCATGTTTATGATGTAAGGGACGCTGGACCCGATTTCCAGCAGGTGCAGCTCCCCACCAATGGAAGGAGCAGGAAAAAAAAAAAAAAAAAAAAAAAGGCAACTGGGGCCGGTCATTCAGAATTATGTCATTCCCATTCTTCTTCAAGGTCCATCAGGATTTGAACTTGGTCTGTATTTTTTAAGGGTTAATGGGTGTACCAACTGAGCTAAACTCATCAGTTGCTCCACAGCCTCCACCACCTATCAAAAAAAAAGAAAAAAAAAAAAAGAAAAAGACAAAGAAAAAAAAAACTCTTGATTCCTCTCCATTTACATACAGCACACAAAAGGGGGAAAAAGATGAATGTTAGAAAATATATATATATATAAAAACAGAGTACATCTTTGCACATAAACTGGAAAGGTTCACACAACGAATATTAGTGATTGTAGCTTGCCACTTTCTATGGCCAGAAGCACTCACTTTTTTCTCGTTTCATCTGTGGTGAGGAGAGACCCTTAAAATACTGTTGTTTTGCACGGGTCTTTTTGCAGAGCTCACTCCACAACTTTTCCTTTTTGGGGCTCGTTCCACACTCCTCGGGGCATCCTCGGGCCCCGAGGACGATTCCTTGGAGTCGCCCGAGGAAATTCCCGCCTTCGTTCCGCTCATCCTCGGAAATGTTCCCCGAGGACGATTCCTCGGGTTCTCCTGCGGCCAGTTGCATATTTCGACACGCGGACGCGGGGGGGGTGGCGAGGTTGGTCCAGCGGGCTGTGTCCGTGGCGTCGTCCTTGGTCCAGGAGCTGTGGGCGGCGCGAATTCGAATTTACGCGGCGAAAAAAAAAAAGGCTACGAAAACGGCGCGCAGTCCCGGATTCGAATTTCGAAATTCGAATGCCCGTAAGCGAATGACGGCGGCGCGGGTGTCCCTTACGGCTTACGGCAGCAACATTCGTCGGCGGGACTGTTTGGGTACAGGGTGGCGGCTTCATGGCTACGCTGCCACGCCGAGCGCCCATGAATACGTCCGAAGCAGCACGGCCGCCGTCACACGATCGCCAACGTTGTGTACTTCGCTACGTGCACCTTCGCCGTCGACGTGCACGCCGTACAGCCGGGTTGTCACGACGCCCCATCGCTGTTGTTCCCACCGAAGTCGAGCCTTCTTCACTTGGCGAGGACGAGCGATGGACGTGGACGGGGACGCGGTTCATGACACACTCAGCAAGGCGGAGAGGGCGGCTGTGGCAGCGGCCGTGAACATGATACTCATCAGGTATCAATTGCAGAGGACCGAGGGGAGGATGAGAGCAGCCATTCGCGCACGCCGGAAGAAGACGCTGCAGTCCATCCATGTGGATGAAGAGGGCAGTGGTGCCATTTGCGACGCTGTCCTTCAGGTGTGCTATGCCATGGGGTGTGGAGCGTTTCCCAGAGCGACGCCCAGGTGGTGGATGAAGCGTCGAACAGGGGGGGTGTGGGAGGATCTGCGGCAATGTGACGACGCCACGGAAGACTACTTCAAGGACAAGCTGCGCATGTCGCCACGGGTGTTCCGGGAGATAGCGGAAGCTCTGTCTCCCTTCCTTCAACGGCGTGTCACGTTCTATAGGGAGCCCCTCCAGCCTGACCTCATCGTAGCGTTCGCTTTGTACAGATGGGCGTCGGGGGAGACGTACGAGAGCGGGACGTGCAGCTTCGGAATTGGCAGAAAGTCTGGGTTGGTGGCTGTGCGGGATGTTACTTCGGCGTGCTGAGTGCGTACCGCGACAAGATATCGTGGCCAACGGGGCTGCAAAAGGCGGTCATCTTGCGCGCTTTCGCTGACAAGGGTTTCCCCAACTGCCATGGCTGCATCGATTATACCCACATCTTCACCGACAAGCCAGCCAATTGCCCCGGAGAGGACTACTATGACAGAAAACGTCGTTTCTCCGTCCAGGCTCAGGTGGTCGTCGATCTGAACTTGCGCGTGCTGGATGTGTTCGTCGGATACCCGGGGAGCTGCCACGACGTGAGGATCGTCCACCTGTCCTGTTTGTGGGCGCGTGCGGAGGCAGGGGAGCTTTTCACTGGGCCACCTGTCATGCTGCCTTTCGGTGTGCGAACGAACGGGTATCTACTGGGCGACAACGGTTACCCCCCCTCGGAATGGGTAGTCGTCCCCTACGGCGGTGTATCACAGCACCCGTCGGAGATTCGGTTTGACAACAAGCAGAAGACGGCGAGGGGAGAAGTCGAGAGGGCTTTCGGCAGATTGAAGGGGATGTGGAGGTTGTTCCTTCGCTCCCACAAGACAAACATGGAGACGTTGCCGCAGCAATTCGTCGCTGTCTGCATTCTGCACAACATACTCATCGACGTGGGCATCCCATTCGACGACAATCTTCTGTGGGAGGTCGGGCCGGACGGTGTTCGTCGCAGGGTGGACCTTGGGATGCACCGCCCGTTGAGGCAGATGTGTATGGAGTCGTCGACGGGGGATGCGCTGATCCTGCGGGA